AAACCAAACCATTCCTGCACTCCATGCGCGTGCCAGAAGATGCATTGAGAAGTTCGGCTCAACGGCTCCAACTTCAGCTGAGGAACCCTTCGTCGGATTTGTGAAGCAGGAACTTGGAGAGGACTCCATACTTCAAGTTGTTCCTGCAAGAGTATGGAAACAGGCTTCTGCTCACGCGCGAAGCCTGAATCAATGAAGAAGTCAACCCTAATTCTTCGCATCCTGGTTGCAAGCCTGGACCGATCCTCCTCCTGCCCGTCTGCATTACAAGGGCAAGGAGGGAAACCGGGCATCGCTTCCCAACTGAAAATTGGTGCGTCCCGAGTCGAAAGGCACAATCAACACACGATGGTCAAGACACAACATTGGCCCAACACATGGTTTCCATGCTGAGCGGGGCCGCCAGCACTGTTGAAATGACAAGTCCACCACACAAAAGCAATAGAAAAGAAACACCTTTGCACCAAAACCATCCCAACAACCGTTGGTTGTCATCCAAATAAACACTGTGTCCCCAATGAAGAGGGAACAAAACAACAAAACCGCCAGGTCACGCTTCTCCCAGCATCGACCCCGTCCACTGATGTGCTCTCGCTCCTGCAATCCGGGGTCACCGCGTCCTCTTCACATCCAGGCGCGAGCTTGCCTGCCTTCACCAGCTTCAAGACCCGGTCGTTCCACTGGTCCCGGCCGAAGCTGGAGCGATCCCCCACCTGCTGCTCACAATACCTTGGCAGAAGAGGGCGGCCAGGTGAGATGAGGCGACGTGACAAGGTGACAAGATGGGATGAGAGGTAAAAAATGGTGAAAAGTTGACCATCCCTCCAAGTACTCAAATGAAGCAACTGAATCAACTTGGGCATCTTTTCTCTGCACAGCCATCAGTTTGCAACGCATGGCGTAGCTGGATTGGTAAAGTGCAACCCAGCCTGTTCTTTTTCTGATATGAAGGAGAGTTAGCATGCCTGGCACAAGAGAAGCCAGCTGCTGTCAAGTTACTCAAGCTTGCTCTTGCAGCGTTTGCAAGCGTAAGACCATGCATTTATGCCATTGCCACAATAGCTCTTGTCATAGCAGCATTGTGACCTCGCTCTGGCAGCAAAGGGAATGGTTCTATGATGTTCTATACGTTCTATGTATGTATATATATATATATATTATAGTAATAATATACCACTGGGCTTCAAGCCAGTGAAGCCTACAACATGGTGATTTCAACAACGAAACAGTCCAAAGATCTTCAGTATACAGTTTCTGTCCATAAACCCAGCCAAAGCCTCATAGACTCATAAGTTGACTCATAAGCCATTTTACCGCAATCTCCTACACCTCAAACCCCCAAGAGATCTGCCATGTCAGATCTCGGCATTCGGCCCTCTTCGTCCAAAGCACTGGCACTCGGAAGCAGTGCACTTCTTGGGTGCCTTAGACGACTGAGACTCGGTTTCAGCTTCCTGTGGTCCTGTAGAAGTGGACGTCTATGGATTTACCAACGGCACCGTCACTTCAACATCGGGATCTCATCATCTATTTGTCATGTGTGTTTGGGCGCTATCTGCCCTCGGATCACGGTCATTTTGCAACCTCCCACCCAGCCACCCACATCAAAACACAAGAAGAAACAGGAAAGCACCTCCGAGATCAGGAACCCAAGGTGCATAGGGCTTCTTACACAGGTACGGCTCCTCGCAGGTGGTTGCTTTGCACGTGCTCTGGCAACAGCGATCCTTGCACTGTTCCTCTCCTCAGATCCGTCAGTCCATTGGGCGATTCGAGTGTGAGCCGACTAATCCGCTGGTCAGTGGGTTAGGGGAATGACCAATGACTTTGCTTGGTTGGCCCATCAGTATAGCATACCTTCAGGAAGCTTGGAACCACCTGGCGGGTCCAAAACAACGGCTAGATGCATCATACAAATGTTTATACAAACATTTACATTTATTTATGATAATTTACAGCTTCAGAACATGGGTCCAGAAGACACACCAAATCACAACTAAGGCGCCTTTGCACTGCAAGCTGTGCCGGTGCAGGCCCTTCAAGATCTCAGGCACTTGGCGCTTGAAGAAACCGCTTCCAACCTCATTGGAACAGCTCCAGTCCTTGATGTGGTCACAGCGGATGGCTTCGCAGCAGGAGTCCTGGAAGGATGATTGGCTATTTTCGGCTATACAGTGCACAAGCATACCAAGGGTTACCCAAGTCAGTCCAGTACCTGAAGGACCTGAACTTACTGTCATGGTGGCATGGCGGGGTCTGGAAGACATCCCATTATATCCGTCTGACTCCTGGCAATCATCTGAACTTGCAGGCCCGTCGCAGGTCCCATAGGTCTTGTGCTGTGCAAAGCGCCCGCATGTCACCTTGCCACAGTTCACCTTTGAGGTGAGCTGTCTCTCGAAAGGTGCCATGATTGAGCTACCTGAAGCATAAGCCCAAGCAGCACCAGCCAAAGCTAGAATAGCAAAGATGAAGACGCCCACCGAGGCCCATCGAAGCCAATGCACTGGTGCTTTTCGGGAGCTGACAACGGGGGACAGTGGTGACGACTCATTCTCTTCAACCACCTCATCAGCTGGCTCTGCCATGGCGAGGTAGTTGGGCACTCTTAGGCTAAGATGCCTGCGGGCAGCCTGGCAGTAAGAACTGATACATTGGAAAGTACATATCGTTTTTTATAGAGGCACCATGTCTACTAACGTTCCTGACAAGCCCTCCAGAAACATTGGAGAAAAAGAAACACATGGCAAAACTAAAACCCCGTGGAATCCGTGGAATTCAATTCACCACAAAACCCGAGAACGTCATGAGGTTCTGATCCATACATCACCGTTTCACGCTGAAGAACTCCGGCAGCGTCCCTCAAACCTGGCGGTTCAGCTACGGCCGCACCTGCCGCGCTAAAACATGGTCCACGGAATGGGCATCGTCCTGCAGGCAGGGCAGCCAGTTCACGGGTGTGATCCAGGGTAAGGCCAGGGTAAACCCGGGTAGGACCCCGAAGTCATCCCAAAGGACCTTGATGTGACAACCAGTCCAATTGTTGAAGACCCTGGAGTCATATTTTGGATGCTCCAGATTTGGGGCAGGTGAAAGAATACGGCCTAAAGCCCTCCCATGTCACAAATCCCACTGTAAACACCAGCTCAAGTAGTGGACACCCTGGTTACCTGTTGGTGCACGCGTCTGCTGAGCTGCGTGTCATAATGGCACTCAAAACAATTAGTATTGCCGTCCTTTCCACACCACTATATAGCACTTGTAGTACCATACTGGTCAAGTCCCCTGGAATGATATGATCATCATCATACATCTGTCCATCCCGCCGTGCGCGGTGGAACGCTGAGTAGATGGTAGAATCCCACGGGTGACATCTGGCCCTACATTGTTACATCTTGCTAAGTAGGCTGAGTAGGCTGAGGCTCAGCTAGGTAGGCTCAAGTAGGCTGAGTAGGCTTAGCTAACTCTTACTAAGTACAAGTAGCTGAGTTCGCTAAGTGGATGTCAACTTTGCACAGCGACTTCTGCGTGTGAGCTCTGCACAGCTCCCACAATCTATGTCGGTATGGATTGTTCATGGACAAAGTCCTGTACGAGCTATCATCCTTCCCATCCACAAATTCCCAGGGCTCTCGGCTGGTTTATCACTTTGTCCATTATAGATTTTACTATATATCGTAACCTCCAAACGTGTCGGCGTAAAAGTCGCGTAAAGTTACGGCGTAAAGCCAAAGGGTTTTCCTGGTAGATCTTGATGTCAAATCTTACTCTTACTCTAACCTCCATCAACTTGTCAACACACGTGTCAACTTATGACAAGTTGACTGAGATACTATGCGCACTCACCGCCTTCCACCGCCTTCCACCAGCTCCTTCCCTGCCCCATTCAGCCCCGGGCCGTGGAGGGTCGCAGGCGGCCCACGCTGGGCGTGCGGCTCAAGTCCAGGTCGACGGAGACCTCTACCGTCAGCGGATGAGGTCGGATGAGGAGGGGGCCCTTGGTCAGTCGGTCTGGGCGGTCTGGTGGATCCATTTGATCTTGCAACACTCACTTAGTGACCAAAGAGTTCAAATGAAACATGATGATGAAATCAAATAATCAGCTACTTGTAAAATGACTGGGACAAGTAGGAAAATGAGCGTTTGTTTTTGAGGATGCTCTCCGGTGCTGAAGGTGTTGGGCATTGGTGGTCTTCTTGTTTCTTCTTCCTTCCCAGAAGCACATGGTCACCGTGTCACAGGATATGTTTGGGAAATGTCAGTTGCATCTGACAGAGTTCCTTCGGCTAACCTCTCACCCTTCAGTTGATCAACTTGGAGCTCAGCGAGGCGACGATAGGTTAAAACATGTCCAAAACGACGAGTTTCCGCAAGATGCGACGATTCAAACGAATGATATACCTACCGTTGCCTCACAGCTGCCTCGTGGCATGCTGCATGCAAGTACCGACTTGCACGCAGGGATCGAAACGGAAGAAACGGATGTCGGACCTAAACATACGCGATTCGACCTCCACTGAAAAGCCATAGTCTTGAGGAGGTGTGGCAAATGTCTGTGAACATCTCCAAACGCCTCGTCTTTGAAAGATCGGAGCACTCATCCTAAAAGACTTCAAGGTGCCTCCTCTGGTCCGAGGAGAAAAGAACTCATGATCACTTGATCCATAGCCATAGTCCTCCTCCTGTCCGACTGCATCTTTTTGTGCCAACTCACAATCTGTACAACCCCAGACAGCACTGATTCTGCTGCTCAGCGCCAGTGCGGTCACGCTGCTTCAGCGCATGAAACAGCCTAAAGGTGGATTGGAGGGGAAGCGAAGGAAACCACTCCAAACGAGAATCGTTAGCCACTCAAGGAGATCTGCTGACTCGGTCGCGATTGTTTTTGTTCCCCTTTTACATGAGAAGCCGTGGGGGACGCTCACCTTGAGTGGATCCCCCCCTGACAGGCTTGGCCAGGGGGATAAGCATGGTAGGCCGAATTCTACCCCCTCGGCTCCTCAGATCATTTTTCGGGTCGGCTTGGAGTTGGCGCCACGGCGTTCCTGCCAGCGAGGCTCAGGCGGCTCCGGCGTGGACATGCTATGGCGGAGACACCGTCCGTGGGGTCCTAAGGCAAAGCTATCATCCGTGGATCTGGAGAGCTACGGTTTTCCCGCCTTATCACCTGTGCTTGCGAGCAGCTGTAAATAAATTACAGTAAAAGCTCAACGTGAGAGGGCAGTTGACCGTCGGTGGTGGACGTTCCACTAGCTTCATGACTTCTCCCTTAGCCACCCCTTAGGCCATATGGTTTTAGTACGTTTCCGTGGTGGATCTCTTCATGTTCCTCAAATCCCTCAACCCTCCCAAAACATCCTGTTTTTTGTGGTGGATCTGTTCCTGTTTGGATTCCCATCACCGCACCAGCAACCAGCTCCTCGGGCCGAAAGCCCATGGGGCCCGTCTCCCACGAAGGGCCCTGGTGCACAGCAATGCCGTTGGAGCGCGAGTCCTGGTGAAGGGCCCCATCCCTTACTCTGTGTTGCGTGACGCCACTTCAAAAATGTTGGCAGTGCCATTTCTGGAGTGGCAAGTTGCTGCAAGTGGTGTGTTTCAAGCAGCCAGTGTCGTCCACTGTGAGGTGGCATACACGGGCACAGTGCACACAAGAGCTTCGAGTCTCAACGACAAGTCTTTGATGAGACCAACTGCGGCAGTCACCATGGGCCACCATGTATGCTTTTGTGACTGTTGCTGTGACGATCTGCAAAGGATTAGATTCAGTGTAAACCACCCCGAGACATTGCACATCTGCAGCTTTCTCTTGTACTCCATATGCTGCCCCTCAAGGAACAACGACTCTTAAGCTCTGGTGTTCTCCAACAATCTGTTGGTCAACTCAGGATGCCACGAGCAAGCGAAACTCGGATCCATCCCCTTTCATGGCCCCCTTTAGCATAGCAACATCAGCAACATCTACTTGTTACAAAATGTTACAAAAAGTATCTCTCAGAAAATGATCTGGTTTCTCTCATCACCACTCCCACACCCATCGTCTTCATGTGTTGATGACTGAGCGTTTTCGCACGAGCCAAACACCACAAAACCCGGCCGTTCCACCCCGGGTGTGGTCCACCAGCTCTTCACTGCCGTGTGCGAAGGTACAGGCGCTGCCCTTCTGGCAGGTACCCTGCTGCCAGTAAACGCACAAGTCCCGCTTGAAGCGCCTCAGAATGACATGGGCGGATGGGCGGTCCTTGGTGGACGTACACCACCAACAACACAAAGTCAAAAAGCGACTCAGCAACCCATCCTCATGAGAAAATGTTGAACATGTCAGGTCAGCAATCCAACCTAAATAAAACCAAAAATGCCAAGATAATGCCATCACGAACCTCCATCCAAAACGGCACAAAATGCCGAGCAAAAGAAAGAAAAGAAAGAAAGAAACTTCCACGATCCGCCCAGGACCCGAGTCACCGAACTCTTCAGCAAACCGAGTCGCCGAGGCATCTCTTGTGTGCGCTTGCCTGATCGGATCATGTGGTCGTGGGGGATGGATGGGTCGTGCGGGGTTGTGGTGTGGCATCCCCAAGGAACAGGGGCGCCCCAGGCTTTGGCACGTGTAGGCTTGAGTGGCTTCCAATGACCAATTCACCACCAAAATGCATCCAAATGTATCCACAGATCTCATCTCACTCTCTTGCACGCATACAGCCTACAAAAGTCCGCAACCAACATCAACCAACTCATGGATGTGGAGCATAACCCAGTGATATATATATATATATTATATATATATTGATATATATTGTATATTAAAAATATATATATAACCCCTTTCTTGTCCTAAGGCCCTCGGGTTCCACCGCCAAGCTCGGACTAACTGGCCTTCCGGCTCAGCAGCGGAAGGCCTGGCTCGATCCTCCCGTGGGTCCCGCAGCTCGTCGAGTCCATGGGCAAAGGTGCAGTGAAGGCCCTTCTCGCAATGCCCACGCTCAAAGTAAAGGCACAAATGCCGCTTGTAGAGCCTGAGAAGGATGGTTGATGTTTCCATCGTAGGGCCTCTTTAAAAGAGGAAAAGCACCAGCAGCACCAGTAGCAGCTTCTTCCTTTTGTTGATTCAGTATGATTCAGTACCGTTCTTCTATCACCCTATGATTGGAGTTTCTGCAGCTGCCGGTATCTTCGTAAAGCTTTTCAGCCACTGCGCTTTGCATTCCTGCCTGAAACGACACATTAAAATTTTCAGCCACGATGAGAAACAATCCTGGACAAAAACAGCTACTAAAGACACGGCACTTGTCAGAACCAATCCACTGATATCATGATATCACATTTTCTCACTGTGAGACTAATCCCTACCAAGCCACGTCTTTGTCTTGGAGCCATCTTCTGGGCCTTGGTGTTCTGCTTGGCCTTGGTGCTGCAAGGCCAAGTGTGCTCCCAAAAGCGATGATAATGACCTGATGTCTCCTCTGATTTGTGCAAGAAAGTTCAACACCCCAAGAACAAGCCTTGGATAACACATGATAAAACCAAGCATCGCTCATCTTCTGCCGCCTTCGGCTTCAAGTTGTTCCCTCTCGCGTTGATCAATCGAAGGGTGGCCTCAAGTCAAAAGGGCTATCAAGGTCCTGCCTCCAACAATAGACACCAAGGTTACTGTGTTCATTGGCCGTGTTGGCAGTTGAAAAAAAGAAAAACTTGCTGTTGCTGGTGTTTGGCGCTGACGGTGCCCACGGGGCCAACAACGTGACAGCGGAAACAGCTAACCCGAAACTATACTGAAACAACATCTCAAAACACGAGCATCAGTGCTAAGATAGCTGGTCCTCACACGAGCAGTTTGCTTGGTTACTCATGCGCATGGGAAGTGCAGTGATTCCGGCTGCACCCTATTATGCTCAGTACGTTCCTACAGCCCAGTCGGTTGGTTTACCTCCCTCATGAATATAATGTGTATCAATGTGTCTTGTGTGGCGAGCCCTTCGGCTGGAGCCCTTTGTCACAAAGGGATCAAACACCAGGCGGAATTCGGAAGCTTCTCTGGAAGAGTTGGCAAGCTGTGGGTTGGAAGCAGCTTCTCTGGGTGGGACCGACTTTTCATGGAGTGCGTGAACCCTGGAGGGTCAGTGAACCGTTTCTTTTGCAAGGTATGTACTCATCAACCCTATATGAAACCAAGAGTTCCTGTATTGTGAAACCCTAAATGGAACGCTACATAAACTTTTAGACCTGATCTTTACAAGAGTTCTGACGCCAATCCACCCAGGTGAACCAGATTTCGGGACAATGAACCAAACAAATGCAGCGCAGCTAGGCTAGGCTTGCTGAGAGAACTGGGGCGGAAAAGTCCAGTGGTTGGGTATTGTCATGTTTCCTCAACGTTCATTGTGCGTCCTGGATTTAGATGTTTCCAGGAGGTGAATGGTCGGGATTGTAGAGACATGCGAACGAATACGCACACCAGTTTCGGTTTCAAGCCTTCTTTGGTTGCAGAAATCCAATGCCAGGCACCTCTGAAAGGACCTTTTGTTGCTACAGTACTGATCTTTGATCCTTGATCCGTTTTTCTTTCTGCACTGGACGTCTTAGGCCTCCCGGCTCGGAAAGGCTGGTGAGGTAGCGGGGCTTGCAGGGCGCTTGTTTAACAAAGGATGTTCTGGTCGAGAGGATCAATTTAAATACACCTTATATTATATAACCCAAGTCGGTTTAACGAAGAACATGTGGTTCATGGCGTATGTTGTGATTGTGATGATGTGTTCAGCACCCCTCCCCTGTGGTGAGCAAACGCAGACTGTACCTCAAAAGCACCCGCGCCTGCTCGTTGCTCTCAGGCTCAACCGGGCGATAACCACCAGTGTAGTCCCAGCGTCGGGTGGACCTCAACCAACAACAAGGCCTGGGTTTAGTCGTTGGCCCGTGGTTGTCTGCCATCATCTTCCAAACATAGTACAGTAGGTGGCTTGCTATCTCAGATCAAGAGTACAAAGTCTGGTTGGAGAAACTAGTTCCTCTTCCGCGGACTCCATTTTGAGGTTCAGGGTGTAGTTGTTTGTCTCACAACGTCTTTTGTGGGAGGCTTTTGCGCACTGCCGAGCATCTTCTTCTGCTGTTGCGCCTCCACCCGTCGCGCCCGAGCAGCCTCTTCAGACTCCTGCTTGGGAAAAGCATCGCCCAAAATGGGCATTAAGAAGAACCTGGTGATGGCATGGTTATATAAGCTCTCTATGCCAAGGTTAAGGTCATTAGAAGTACAAATCTTGATCAGAACTGGTTTGGGGAAGGTCGCCAATTCGACGTACCACAGTGGCTCATGGCATCTCATGGATGGTGGCTTACCCGAAACTGATGAAACAGGCAACCCGCCAGGCATGCGCCGTTCGGTAGCACACGTCAGTTACAGCTAAGCAAATGTCGGCGGCGCATTTTTCATTGACTTCAACGTCTTCAACAGAAACAATACCGTCCTACGTCCTATAGCCAAAAATGAAACATCCTAGGGCCTCGTCACACTTGTTCAACAATGAGTCACGGTGAATCTTCTGCCGGCTCAGTCCTCCTCTGGTTCATCGTCCACGGCGCATGGGCCTGACAGCTCAATGAGCACATTTGCAATGGCTTGACATGCTTCGACGACGTTAATCATGACTTCAAAACAAAAAGTAATTAAGCATATGTAAGCATCACATGGACTTTAAACATCACCATGGTCCAGAGTACATCACGATACATCACCATGGTCCAGGGATGTCCAGGGTCTGGTCACCGTATGGTCCAGTGGACGGTCCGGGTGGCTCTCACCGGGGACTCGGACGCCTTCCGTCGGCTCGGAGGGCTCGAAGGATCGGGTGACGCCCACCGCGACGAAGTGACTCAAACCCACGAAGCACACCTCGGGAGGGCAGAAGCACACGCAGCGTCCCAGGTGAGGTGCTCAGAGAGAGAGAGAGAGAGAAGAGAGAGAGCCACGGTGCCACTTGGGGGTGAAACCTTTCTTGGCCGAACATGTGTGAAGACATGTCATCGATGTGGAAATGATGGACACCAACGTACACATTGAAGTATGGACAAGCTGGATTTGGATTGGGCCCGCCCCCCATGGATCCCCATGGGCTCCAAAATGGCCAACATATTCGTGGAGAAATGGCTAGACATGGCATGAGCAACTGCCTTGCAATCACTATGGCCAAATAAGGATTGAACTACTTACTGAAGTTAACCTGGACCTAAATAGAGGTTGGCTTAATTAAGGTAGAAGCCTCCACTGGAAGTCTTCGAATGGAGTTCTTCTTGGGGTTCTGGCCATCTCTCTCTTGGAACGCTCAGATCACAGAACCCTGAAGCTTTGGAGTAGCTTCTCTGGGAGGCGAAGCATGCCTCTCAGAGTCAATACTTTCACCTCTAGCATCCAGGTGGCGAAGTCGATCATGGCTTCCTGAGAAGACGACTAAGAAGCAGTGGTGAACCCCAACCACAGGGCACTCCATTCAGAGGTTGCACCAAATATATACCTCATACACCTAGCCCTGATTACAAGCAACCTGCATTAACCGCAGTCATTCTAAAGACTGGGGCAGTGATGATGTAGTACACCCCATAGTTACCCCCGCTAGCAGAAGTGCAGAAGTGCAGTGCAGAAGTGTCAGAGGAGGATATACAATGATATGATTAGGGACCCTGAGGTCATACGAAAGGGTGCATGGAACTCACCCTTTAAACTCCCACCGACGTCGCTCTGACCAGAAACAGCCTTAAGATAAAACAGATTGGCAAAAACATCCTCTGCAGGTACAAGAAGGCCCTTTCCGATTTGCAGTGTGCCAGGATCATATCAGCATATCAGCCATAAAATGTCATAAGCACGGCTGTCGTTGTACAGCCAATTGCACTGTTGTCGTGGTCGCCCTGCTTTTGTTGATGTGTGCCAAAAGCTCTAAAACACCCCATGGACAACAGGTCACTTGAGACATGTGTGCCGACAAAGCGATTCCTGCTAACTCTAGTCTGCTGTAGTCTACTTTTCTATTCTTTGCATGCCTAAGTGCCGGCGACGTGCCGGCGCTTAATTTTCCTTTGATGATATCATATTGTATCGTCAAATCTATTGGGCTCCCACCACCTCCCTTTTCCAGTTTGCCAGACTCAAAATGCGATTGAATTCCGCGCTACTCTAGCATCCTGCACTTATGACTTCTGTACGCCTTCCTTTCGACCGCTGCACGCTGGCAGGGCGCACAGGCGGAGCTGGCCGGCCTCGCTCCTGGGTTGGGTCTCAACCGGTCAAGCTTCACCCCTTGCTCAACCCCAGAAATGTGAATGCCTTTCAATCACTTTTGCATTGTCTCAATCTGTCTCATAGGGTCTACCAGGGGTCCACTACTTTCAGATTCTCGGGTAGATGGCTTGTCGGTCCTTTCCTGGTTCTATACCTCCCGCAAATGCCAAACAAACTTGGAGCAAATGGTCAAGGGACATGTTTCCACGGATGCTGCGCCACCAACTGGGCAGACTTCAACTAGGCTGGCACTGTTTGGAGGCCTACAATGCACTGGAGAATCGCAAGCATCAGGCAGGGTGGAACTAATCAAGCCAGGGAAAAGAGATTGGCCTCTGCGGCAGGCATACAGGCGAATCAAACCCCAATGACCTGCACAATGGACTGTGTGTCCGGCAGTGCTTCCAGGTGTCCCTTGCTCTTCAACAGCGCTTCCAGACATGATCTGGCGAGGTCCGCCTTCTCCCAGTCTCGTTTGAAGACCTGACCTTGGCCAAGAAGCGCCACATGAATCCGGTATAATCCGGTGGGAAATGGTTGCCAAAGGCCAAAGGCCTTGTCTTACACTTCCGTGTTGCGTTACAGGGCCTTGGCGCTTGCAAAGAGAGAATCCATAGAGGATTTGAGGAAGGGCAAGGTTATTATAGTAGTGGCCTAGCACTTAGAATATTAGTCCATTTGTTTTTAATTCCCAATAATTCACTGAAAGGTCCCGGGGGAGCACTTGTTCATATTTATTCTAACTGTGCTGCAGATAGAATTACCGCCTGCAGATAGAATAATTATGACTGCAGCCGTGAGCATCCAAACATATCCAAACTGCAGCCGTGAACTGCTCAGCACATAGAATATTGTGGCCCATATTTATTCTAACTGCATTGGCTCTCACCCCCGTGACCTCAAAAATAAGGGTATTCTAACTGCATACTCATTAAAGTCGAATATTCTATGTGCTGAGCCACCGGTATAGACTCTGGATCTTTGGGACCTTGCAGAAGACCAACCAATCCAAAGAAAATGAATCCAGAGAGGAGGTAAGAGGAGGTAAAAGGAGGGATTGGAAGATGATGCTCCTTCAAGGTGGGGGCTGCCTGAAGAAAAACTAAACAGGTTGGTGGTTGGCATCTTCTTCTTAACTCCTTCTTCCAACTCAGGGCAAGAGCACAAGCACGGCAATGTGCATGCCTAAAATATGGCAAGACTTTGCAGCAAAATCCTGATATCAGTCTTCCTAGAAAGTATCTCAAGATCGCGCCGCTTGCTTGTTGAATGAACTCCTGTGCAAAGCTTACATAAGTTTGTTTCCACCAGCCTTTTCAAAACATTCGAGCTTCAGGCATCAGGTGAAACTTAGTCCAGCTTTTCTGGAAGTGCCCAGAGGATTACCTCCTCATGCATCAAAGAAGTTTGTCTCAAGATTGATTGAAAAGACATATGTCTCCTGCAAGACGCTCTGTGTCCTCAAAGCGATGCGAACCCTGTCGAAGCCCCACTCATCGTGGCCTCGCTCACGGTAGACGATGCCACGTCCAAGCCATCCCACTCGCATGAGCACCATCGACTCGGATGGCATGGCGTCACCCACCGCGTATTCGAAGCTGATCTCGCTGTCCCATCTCCAGCTTCCGTCGTCGCCACCTGGGTCGCTGAAAAAAAACATGTGGTGTGGGGTGGTGACTTTGATGTGGACTTCTTCAATTTCAATGCATAATCTGACAAAAGCTACTAGTTATAATATAATATATATATATAGTATATTATAACATAAATAGTTAACCTTGGAATGGCCGGATGACTCATACCACCAACCGGCCAGACAAAGTGGGGGGGCAGGGCGGCCAGGGTCCCTCCTACATCAGAAGTGTTCGCGCGATCTCCAGCTTTCTTCGCATCCAGGGTGCTCAGCTTGGATCGAACCTTGGTCTTTCCCAGTGCAGTGGCGCAAAAGAACACCCGCTCAGGCGCCGCCTCCTCTGTCCCCGGTAGAGGCTGTAAAAGTCGAAGAAGCTGCGTGAGGATGTCAGCACGTTGGTCTGCGTGGTCGACGCAAGGCGCATGGGTGGGCAAAGCAAGGTTGCCGTGGGGTCGGCAGAAAACAGGGTTAACAGGTCAATGTAAATTCATTCCCTGTATAGATGTCAAAAAGTCTTTCTTCCATGAGCATGGAACACTCTAGGAGGCGGCTTACCGGCTTACCCCTTTATCGACCACAGAAGCGGTCGCGAAAGCAAACCCCACCTGCAATGGAAGAGTTCTTTGGGAGAGCCTCATCTAGACTGCCAGCAAAATGCACATGCAGGCTGCCATCCTGAGGCAGGCTCGATATCCATGTCAGTGCTACCTGAACCCCACTCTGCCTGGCTCAAAGAAACATGGAACACAAAAAGACTCACCTGAGGTGTTGCAATTCACAACGGTCTCTGCTTGTGCCAACGAAGCCCCATGTCCAAGTGCTTTCAGACTTTTGGGCGACATCAGAAGCTTTCAGACGTGTTTCAACACCGGGGCTGACCCAACTGAAATGAATAAGTATGTATATATATATATAGTTATATATATATAGATATATCTAGCCCGCTGAATCGCCCATGTCAATGATCTTTGTCTTGCCAGCGAGTGGCACCAGCCCAGGAGCCGATCTGGCGGCCAAAGACCTCCACCAGCTTCTCATCTGACCCCTTCTCACGAGGTGCGGTCTTGCCCACCTGCATCGCTTTCATTCGATCTTTTGGGTCCCAACTGTTTTTCCAAGAAATCTTTTGAGAATGAGGTGGAGCCAAGAAACATCATGAGCGTTTGAGTTCTCAAACCCCATGTCCAGTGCCTTGGCCAACCTTTTTTGAGCCTCCTCCAGCTGCTGAGATGAGGACTGGGGCCACCTTTGAGCAGCCTCTGGGCTCCCGGAAATCCAGCGGGGCGTCTTGGAGGACCCAAAGCAGGCGCCCATGGCAAGGGAAGAAATTATGATTTGTGTCCAACAACGTTGTCTCTCTACGTGTTTCTTCTCCAAATATCTGTCACAAAGGTGATGACATGTTTGCCTCACATCTGCTCTGAGTGTCCTTTTGATTCACCAATGATCGCGGCACATCTTTGCGATCGCGGCGTAGCAAAGCTGGCTGTTTTGAGTGGCCCATGGTGAGCAATTCAGGCTCTCAACCATTCAACCGCACCGCTGTCACACAAAGTCAAGGTGAAGCACAGGGTGCTTCACAAAGATCTCTGGGCTTCTAGAAGCAGAAAAACATACTGGGTACATCTGGGTACAGTACTATGAACGAAGGACATGGAATGTGCACTTCCAGCTCTTTGTCTTCCTAAACAGTGACTATCCCTTCCTTGGAAGATCATCCAGCTAGGCCTACTTAAGGTGGCACAGGTCATCTCACTCTCACTTCAATCACTTATGCACTCACCAAAAAAAATGCTGTCTACTACAGAAATATACAGAAATCATTACAGCAATATACAGAAGTACTTCTGTCCCCGTCCCCGCAACAACTCGCCAAGCAATCCAAAGCGGCGCAGCTGCAGCAGGGAACCCACGGCACTGAGGTTTTGATCACCCAGGCAGGTGCGCACGATGCTGTCCACTGATCCAGCGAAAAGCGCTAACCCTGGCGCGGAGGCGCGGAAGTCGCGGAGTCGTCGACCAGTTCGGAAAGAGACAGGCAAATTGACGTAACTTAGCAGATTTGTTTGGATCGTTTGTTGACTGTGAAGCTGCCCAGGCGAAAGATGGCCCAATCCCCTCAAGATGCACGGTTATGGAAGTTGGTGATGCTGAAACGAGTCGAGGGCGCGCGGTGAACGCAGGTGAAATCCATCTGACCCTGGGCCAAAGCCACATTGCCAGAGTTCTGAATCGAGAAAAGTCTAACAATGCAACTGGGCTGAGCACCGATCGGGCTGCTGTGGCCACCAAAATGGTCCAAAAACACGTGACATTCGATTGGTGCTGGGGCACACCCAGAACCCTCAAGGAGACCAAGCAATTGACCCGCCAAACAGGGCATCCATAAGCCACCTCCACTCATGAGCGCCCTGGCCCTGTGCGACCCGCGATCTGCGGCCCAACGGTGCGTGCCTATCATGGTGGAGCATCGTGTGCGACACTCACCTGAGCCCATTGAACGCTTAGCCGCGTTCAGCGGAAGCCGCCCTTGCCGATCCCGATGATTCGGCTTCCGGAGTGAACCAAACGCTGAAAGGGTCTGAAGGCCTGAACAGCTTGGATTGGATGCATCTGCTGGCTGAAACGCAGATGAGAAATGGAGAACTGTCGGATTGTTGTCTTTTAAAGTCCACGGTGATCCATGCCTGAGGAACTGGCAAGTTGCAACGAAAGTTGAAATTAGCAGTACATTAGCATTTTGCAACCAGAAGGCTACTATTGAGAATCAACCTCAGAAATGTTCCATCTGCATCTGGCTCACCCACTAGTGCGGCCCAAGCCATTCAAATAGAAATATTAGAATCATAAACAACTACACATTGTTCAATTCGGGAAGGACGGCCAGCCAGGATCACTGCATGATCACTGCACTTTGCTTAGCAGCAGAACTCATGCTTTATGATTTATGAGTTTCTTTTTTCCCACTAGAGTCACTAGCCCCCGTGGTCCCACAACGCACGAGGCCCCGCAGTGGCATGTCCCAGCATCTCAGGAGTTCCGGAGAGGGCTTTTGCGGCTCGTCGAGTTTCAAGCCTCTGATGCGCGGCGGTGGTCATTAATCTTGCAACTTCTGAAGCCAAATTCCTATGGCTCACACATACTATACTACCTCCCAAGCTTCCCTGGATAATGCTGACCAAACGGCGTGCCCTGGGTTTGCCTGCTGAAATACAATTTGCAAAAAAATATTTCTTATGACTTATGATATCTTATGATGTTATTCAGTGATTCAGGACTTTCAGGGTCAACCTTCGACCGATGTCCTGGAGAATGTTGCAGTACCAGTAGCTCAACCAAGGTCATGTCGTGTCTTCTTGGGGCATGTGACACTGCTACCAGCCTTTCACCGCAGGGAGTGGATTGTGGACTGTGACCTGTGAATGAGCCTTCAGCAATGTGCATTTGGGGCTCGTGATTGCTTCGTCTCGTCGCTGAATAACATGTTTCGCACTTGGCTGGTGGTAAGGCCCCGGACACCTGAGAAAGCTTAAGACAGGAACAGAAAGCCTTCAACATGTTGGAACCCCAGAACGGATTTCAAGAGCCGAGCCATTGAACAACCATGCGCGAACCATTCAACCAGCAACGTACCAAACCAACAAAAGACAACAAAAGTCACTGTACGTAACGACTCAACATCAGCATCCCTTCTGACTTCATCCCCCAATCCCCATGACTTCGGCAACTGAAAAGACTTTCCCTTTTTCTCAATTGCGCCAGGCTGCTCCTAGCAATGTTCCCGATTTTTTCTCGCAAAAGCCCAAGGCCATCTTCCCAAGCCTCAAGCACGGCTGGACACGTGTGGGGCTTGACATTCCAATTCCACCCTTGCTATGGTCCTTTTCTTTGCAAAGCTACAGAGTGGTCATATTATGAAACATCCTGCGTCTGGGGATCCCTGCTACACATACGTGGCAACTACATAGACAAGACGGCAACCGTACAATATCTATTATCTATTGATCTATCTACATTCAGCATTCCAGATCTACGGAATGTCAACACATTCCAGCTTCTAGTAGCAAGACCTAGTGAAAGGCAAAGACCCAAGAAAAACCCAAGGCCTTCAATGAAGCATTGTTTCGACACACCCTGATGGAACTCTCACACTCATGGGCCAATGCCATGGCACCCGATCAGGGAAATCGTCCGTCTCTTCTGATTCTGCAGCATCATCGAAGCACTGGACACAAAGGCAGTAGTCGCAGTCCCTACCTGGTGCGGCTGCATCGCCCGTGCGTGGTGCGACAAAGACTTGGGTGTGATCTCGAAGGGACCATCTCAATTAATGGATAGAACATGTTTGCATCAAGCATATACTATGTATCTGGGAAGCTCTGCGACAAACCATGCGCACTCGCTGCACACTCCACGTCAACAAGCACCCTCATCAAGCTTTTGAATACTGGGTCTTGCACACATCTTCCCTTGCTACACACTCCCTTGCCCTACGGGCGGGTATGGGAGGTCCTTGGCTTTTGGTGGTTCTTGGCAACTCAGGGTCCGGCAGTCATAGATGGTGGCACCACCAGCCATGGCCTAAGAGAAAGTTGATCTCACATAGCGGCAGCAGCCCGAGACAGTTTTGATGCAACTGCGCTACATCACCATGCTCTAGAATTGCTTGCACAAAATAGGCAATTACAGTAGTTGTTACTTCATGTCCAAACTTGAATCAACATATGATGACATTGCTGTATGACATACAATTATACACCCAACCGCATCTAACAACTGCAAATAGCCTGCGACAAGGTACCTGTGGGCACCCATCGCAGGTAAACTCCTCCTTAGTGTGGGCCGCTTGACACGCCTGATCAGAGATCTACTGAATGTGGGTGCAGCTTTCGGGATCCTCTCGTTCTGGAGAATGTGCCCCTTGCCTTGACATCCTTCTTGAACTTGTTTTCTCGGAGAAGGTTCGGAACGATCCAGCAGTACTTTGCGATGTTCTACTATGGATTGGGGTGGTTTACCCACTCATTAAATCCGTGGCCACTGGGAATCAAAGATCTAGCTAGGATAATTCAGATTTATGAGAAACGATTCGGAGACGATTTGATGTATATTATACTTGGCTACAGTGGTTGTGCACATGCTGTTTTTGGTCAAAGCCCTCTCCTCAGTCTCACCAACTAGCGACTTTCTGAAGCCCAAAACTCCCATCTCACCCTCCACCTGGCATGCCTCACGCATGCCTCAAGCATGCCTAACATGGTCTAACGTCCCAGTCACTGGAGTCCGGTCCTACTCCGACTTCCCATCTTCCAGCCGAGGAGCTCCTTCAAGGCAAACTACCTCTTTCAGCACGCAGCCCTTAGGACATCGGACCACTTTCTCTTTGGGGTCCTGGCGCGGCTCCGTTTCTTCCGGTCGTCCCAGCAGGAGGAGCAGCAGAGTATGGCAGAGTGGTTGGCCCGAAATGGATTTATTCCATGCATGTGGACAAGCCGAAAATGCACATCCCCAAATAGGAAAGGAATAAAGATGTGTCAGCGAGAATGCATTCTAGAGTCGCAGTGCTCCTTGTCCGCAGTCCGAGGCTGGCCACCTGCTGGCAACACTCTCCCGCTCGCTCTCTCTGTCTCTCTCTATATCTCATGTCCTAGTGCTCTGAGTGCTATAAGGTCACGCTAAAGGCCAAGAAAAATATCAATACAAAACCAGAAAAGGTAAGGGCACGAAGATGTCTGAAGAAGGATAATGGTCTTACAGAAGTTGATTCCCGGCCACATCCCTGCGTGCTGATGCTCTGCAATCTGTTCAACGGGACTGACTTAACCTGAACAAGTGGAATCCATCCGGAATCTATTATCAATCCATATCAATTCCTCCTTTCTGGCTCTATTTGTCATGTGAAATTGACATAGAATAGTGTAAAATATTGCAAATCCTTAAAAACGTGCTCATCTTCTTGATGGTTTGACATCACATATCTTCTCACCTGTAGTTCCTTGGGTGTCTTCGGCAACTGCCGCTGGGACTGCTGGGCTCTTGCCGCTCTTGCTGCCCCTGCAACTGCTGCAAAGGGTATAGTCACACTCGCGACCTTGGGGTGCAAGCTCTCTAGAATCGTCTGGAACCCTCAAGGTTCTTTCGCTGCCGCTCGGCTGTAGGCACTGAAAGGAAGGAAAGCAGGAAGGCAGCGCAGAAAGGACAGGCAAGGAAGGAGCAAGGAAGCAAAGGAAGGAAGGAAGCAAAGGAAGGAAGGAAGGAAGGAAGGAAGGAGGAAAGGAAAGGAAAGGAAAGGAAAGGAAAGGAAAGGAAGGAAAGGAAGGAACCAGGAAGGAAGGAAAGGAAGGAAAGAAAGGAAGGAAGGATGGATGGATGGGAGGGATTCAATCCAGAAACGGCATCTCTTGATGCTTGCCAACCTGCGAGGGCGGCCCTCAAATGGCCCAACCTGCAGGTTCCAGTCCAAGAACATCTGCAAAAGCGGGCAGATTGGCAGATGATGAACAGCTGAAGCGCATCCTCTTTACTGCAGTGCTGTTTCCAAGGGCGCGGCAGTCAAAGATGGTAGCTCCATTGATGATTTCCTGGGTTCCAATGTGCACATCAAAATATCCGACATCCCCTCCCAAAGATCTGCTATGCGGGAAGAATGCGGTTCCGGCTTCATGTGGTTTCACAACCCTGGGTCTCACCGTTTGATTCCTTCGCGGTCCTTGGGTCTCACAATGCATCCTGACTTCACAGACAAGGCTACTCCATTCATTTCAGCCAGCCACGCTCCAACCACCCTGTCACAGGGTGGCCAACGTGCCTCTACTGATTCCAAGATGCTGCACCACACAAGTCACACTCAAACTCCTGCTCCTTAGCAGCATGAAGGAAAGCCTGGAGAAAATAATAAGGCTGCTATTGGTTCACCATCCATATGTTTCAGACTGTATTGTTCAAGCCACTTTAGCTCGTGGGCGGATGTTGGTATGTTCGTGGCGAGATTGGTCTTGCTAGATTGGTCTCAGGTAGAACCTGCTAAGGGTACACTCATGGCCATGTTTTGTGCGACCACCATCATTGACAATCATCATCACCAGCAGTAGCAACAAACATCAACAAAACATCTAACTAACTCATACTAACTCTCCCTGCGGGATCCTGCACCCAACATCCAACCCCACAAAAGAACCAACCACGGTGTCGCAGCTGCAGGGCGCGACGTGGGACCTGGGACCTGGGTAGGATGACATGACCAAGTGTCTGGGCTGCAGTGCGCTTCCTTCAGTTCGTGTCCAAGAGGACACCGCGCAGTGTCAGGTTCCTCCACCAAGCGCGGCTTTGGCACTGATTGCACTGGATGCGCGTCGCGCGTGGCAGCGGGATGCGAGTCTGTGCCTTGGATGAGTAGAATGCACACGGGTGGATTGTGCCATGTCTGATTTCACAATGCTCACCGACGATGAACGGAACCTTTCACACACATGCACGACGTGACTAATGACTACTGACTACCCCTACCACATCATATTCACAAGGTCACAAGGTCGAGATGACCAAGCGGGTCCTCAAGGCTGAACAGAATCCCAAATCGAATACGACAACGATCATCGCAGTCAGCAGGTCATCGCCTCTCACTCCAGCACACGAACGGTCCGGGCGGCCTTTCTTGGGTGGAGGAGGCGGGGGAGGCAATTCCTCCAGAAACAGCTCCTCTTTCTCGACGTCCGCTCGGAAAGCGTGGATGCCTTGGGGTTTCAAGCAGCATGGCAAAAAATGACGATACAGGTGGATGTACCACCTATAGTGATGGGTGATAGATGTGGCAGTGCTATTTCCGATCTTCTTTCAAACGTTCCGATTCCTTTCCCTTCTCTTTTGCTTGGTTTCTTCTAGAAGCAGCTCCTGAGGCCTGAGGCTCGCGCTTTTGATCCGCTCGCTCTTGGAGACCTCCTGAGAGTCCGTCGACGTCTCCGCCGGGACCAGGGGTCCCGGTCCGTGTTTGGATGCTCCTTTGAGCCCTTTGGAGGGTGGACGCTCCTGTGAAGACCAGGTTCGGACGCTAACACAGCTGAGAAGCGGAGAGCCGATGCACTTTGCACCAGGCCTTCCTCAGATCCCCATGGGCCCATGGCTTCATCGTCTGCATCAGAAATCTGGAAAAGAAGGGACAAGTTACATGTTTGAATCTCGCACAGTTCCTTTTCGCAGCAGCGAATCAGCTCAAGGGCCCTATTCAGCCGAAACAGCAGCGACGGTGCATCAACTGTACGCAATACACCCTGGCTACAACCGCTGAAATTCACACCCGTCTTATCTACAGGTGTGTTGCGGGCTTTACAGTTCAAGTTGTACAAAGGCAGCCAAGCAACTCTATTCCCCGTGGGGCCGTAAACCATGCCATTCCATGTCGAATTCTCAAAACAAGTCAGGTGAGACTTCTTCATTCTTCTTCTTGGCTCCCTTCTCGCATGCGCCACTGTTCTCGACATTTACAAGGCCACTTTCCAGTGTCTTGAGGAGGTAGTCTGGCTTCATGCTCTTGGTTAGCGGGTCTGCCAATTGCTTCGATGTCTCAATCCACCTCAGGTGGTCACCGTAGGGACTGTAGATCTCTGATGTTCTCTCGCCATTCACAGTCCACACTCCTTGCCTCAATGCGGCAAGTTCTATGCCAAGCCTCTTGTCTTGTACTTTTCTTGGAACTTCTGCCAGTAAATGGTCCGATAAGCTCCTGCAATCCGTGTAGTACACGTGTGCCATTCGTCTCTGAGTTTCTTCATGCCAGTTCTTGAAGTCATCAAGTCGTCCGGTCAACTCACAAATCAGGCATCGTAGACGATCTCCATGTTCGACTGCAGTTTGCAGAGCGTATGCTTCTGCTTGCAATGTAGCACGACACACCCTTTTGAGGGTAGTTGAACCAAAGCTGATCAGATGCATTTTGTGACTGCCTTCCTTGAGGCTGCTCGCATTCGTTATGTAGTGAATGCGGCCTTGTTGACTCTTAAAGCCTTCTTCATTTGCGAAACTTGCGTCGCTAAATGTCACAACTGCCAAATCGCTCCAGTCAATCCAATCACTCTTGAAGGTGATCTGCAAGTCACTTCCTTGAAGTGCCAATTCAACAACCTTGTTGGCATTCTTCAAGTCTTGCACTGTTGCCTTTGCGCTGCATGCGCGCTGCATCTCATTCACACGGTAACAAAGGTCTGGTCTTCCATAACGAGCAACCCAAGCCAAACTACCAACAACGCTCCTGAGGCTTGTCAACTCCTTCTCTGTCACCTTTTCCGACAGCTTCCGATGCTTGTCGATTTCGATCGGCTTCACTGTTCTGCAGTTTTCACTTGTAGAAATGCTCACGGAGTAATCCTCATGCTGCACGAACTGACGTCCGCAGTATCGGAACTTTCTCGATTCTGTTTTGCCAATCGTGAACCTTTTGAGGATACCTTCAATTGTCTTCTTGCCTTCATCAAGGTAGCAATACAACAAGTCGTCGACATGTGTCGCGACCATGCCTATCAACTTTCCCTTGGGATTGTGCAAATAGTACAATGCAGGTGTGATGCGACTGCACTTCAACCCGGCACTGGTAATCTCACCATTCATCCTCAAGTAAAAGCCTCTGCCTGCATCGATCGTGCCATAGATCGGAAGGCGTGCAACCAACATTGCATCCGGTGGAACATCCGGACTTGGAATTCCACCACGTGGCTGTTTGAGCAACAGCAACCTCGTCATTGGCTGACTCTGAAAATACGCTGAGGAAACATCTGCCGCATACAGGGTCACACGATGGCTTGATGCAAAGCTTGCAATCAACATGTGTCCTTCAGTCTCAGCAGTGGGGCTGTCGCAGCGAATACCTTGTGAATCACGGCTCACTTGTTCGTGATTTCCACAGGCTACTAGCCGAGATCTGTTTTCTGGCCGATGCTCAGGCGTACCTGTCAGATGAGCTTGCTTATCCACATCTACCCATTGCATAGGAATAGGAACATGCCCTTCTTGAAGCAACTCTTCCAATTCCTTGCCTCGAATAGGCATTGCAGCATTGAAGCTCCTATATTTGCTCCACTCTGCACGGCGTGCATCCAAGATGCGGGCTTGCATCTCGGGAGTGCATCGGTCGTACTGCAGCGTCTTTGCCACCTTGCCAACCTGCGTCTCACTGTTTTCTCCAAAGCGTTGAGCCACGAAGGCCCGAAACTCTGCAGCATCGAGTTCAGTGTCGTCAGCGGCGGCCATGGCGATCAACGGGTGTTTTACCCGGGTAAAGATTGTGAAACCTGTCCATGCGCGAGAATCAACATCATCCATGCCCGGCATGGACTCGCTGGTCATTCGACTTCCGTCTTCATAGACTTTTCTGGTTACGCGTCTTCCTCCGAATCCTTCCGGAACATCTCCGTCATACAGCGGATGGAAGTCATGGAATCTCCTTTTATTGTGAACACGAATTGCATGATTCTCAGAGATTCTCCAATGGTCTTCATTGTCAACCAATGCAAGCATGACCTCATCATCACCAACAATGCCTCCGGGGGTCATCGGGACTGCGACTGCGCTTCCGCTCGCGCTTGCAGATGATCGGGCAGCCTTGCCCGTCTTATCTTCTGCTTGTGCTTCTCTCTTTTGTCCCTTCTTAGGGCTTGCCTCTTCGTCCATCATTCGGATGTACTTCTGCTGTCCCAATGTCACTGCCTCCGGGAATACTGGGATGTTGTTCAAAATGGAGTAGGCCAAAGATTCACTCTCATTGGCTGATCTAAGTTTTCCAGCGGCGCACAAAATGGGAATACCTTCATGTAGCAGCCAGATGCCATTATGTGGGTCAATGCCAATCACACGCGAAGCAGTGGACCACACGGTTCCACCTTGCTGGGTGTCTCGACGGTAGACCACAAGGTCTCCAACCACAAATGACTTCTTGTTCTGGACTGCAGCATTCCTGGTCAATGCTCTTGCAACACGGGAGCTTGTATCCAAATGAATAAATGCCTTTTGTGCAGCCATACGGGATGCATGACACAAATGATAGCTTGCTGCAGGGTCAAGCTTGTTCTCCAAGATGCCCAAATTTCCTGCCTCATCCATATCTGTCACAGATCCTGGAACTCTTGGGTTCCTACCCAGGACCCATTGTGCTGGAGAATAGCCTTGGACTCTTTGCATGTGGTTCTTCACGGAGGTGCATTCATGCAAGCGTGTTTCAAATGCATTACGGCCAACAGCTTCCATGTCATGGATGGTCTTCCTAAGAATTGCCTTCAAGATACCTTGGTGCCTTTCAACCTTGCCAATGGCTGACGGTGTTTCCAATGGTGCATAGAAAATCTCGACTCCGTGCGAAGCGAACAGCTTGGACACCTCACCTCGGTTGTGGACACCTCTATCCATGATTGCAGCCTTTGGAAAACCTGCCCAACTGATCCATCTGCGAAGGATAGCTTGTGCACAGGCTTCTGACGTTGGCATACCTCCACCTTCTTTGACAACCTCTGACAAATGGAATCCTGTCGAAATGTCTAGCATCGTGAGAATGCTGTACTTGTTCCCTGCATAGTCCTTCATTTCTGTGACGTCAAGACCAAGCATGGCATTGAACTCATACTGGAAATTGCTATTTCCTACCGGATGGTCACGGGGACGTGGTGCAGTGTCTTCGCAGGACTGACAGCGGACAAGACGTGCGGCCTCGATCAACTCCTTGCTTGCCTTACCTGCCTTTAAGATATTCTTCAATGTTGACGGTGCGGGATGTCCGAATTGCCGATGCAAACGACGAATTGCAACGCGAGTCTTTGTGGGGGAGAGCACGCCACAGTCGTCTCCGTTTCTGTTCCGTCATGTCGGCTCCGGGCAATGCAAGTTGATCTAACATGAGTTCTTCCTGTTCTCTTGCTGTCAACGGTTTTCCATCGTCATGTTTGGTTTCCCGAAAAACTCCCTCAATGTCACTGTCCTCAATTTCAGAGATGTCTTCAAGTTCGTCTGCCACAAAACATGTCCTTGCAAAATGCTCCAAGTAAGTTTCTTCTGATATGGTGTTCAACATCTCTAGGAGTCTTGCCGATTTCGCGTCCTCAAAACATTTTGGAATCATGTTCTCTCCGCACCAACCTTCCAGCGCCTCCAAGATCTTGGGGCTTTGTGGACCTGCCAAGGCAAACTCTAGGTCACCACCAAGACAAATGGAATGTTCAACAGATATCTCGAGAAGTGGTGTGAAAAGAAGGAGGTTGCAACCATACATGTCGACTTCCATGAGCATATCATTCCTAATCCTCCTGGGGTCCGTGTTCTCCAAAATCAGTACAACCAAACCAGGGATCTTATTCGAAATGTGCTTGATGACCTCCTTGCGGGTCTTCACCCAATTTGCACCTACATCGAATACCTTTGCACTCTGGGGTGCATTGATCAACATGTCATCCTTGACAATGACCATGTGTTGCACACTCAACGGGTTGTTCGAAACTAGTGCATGCAAGACTGAGTCATTCTCTTGCAAGGTCTGCAGGCCGGCGACAAACACTTGTTTTTCTCCTTTGTTCATAGTTCGGTGATCCAGAGCTACGAATGCATGACCTTCGCTGTCGGAGCTCAATTCGATCTCTCCTTGGAAGCGGCTCATGATGAACTTGTCTCGGTCGAGCACCTCACGCGAGCTGGTCGGACGATCCGGAGTGCTTCGTGTACTCATGGTAACTACGTCATCGTCTGACAATTCCTCTTTGGGTGCGTTCGACGGATCGATAGCTGTGCAGCCATGGAACGGTTCAACAGGTTCAGCATCAAGTGCATCGTCCATGTTCTCCTCCTTGGGAGTCTCTTCTGCCGTCTCCACTGGTTTTGCCATCTCTGTGGTCTCTGTCTTCGTGCGTTTCGAGGGTCCTCCGCTCGGCCCGTCTCCATTTTCTTCATCATCACCAGGCGGTCCCTGGCCTCCATTGCCCTCATCATGGTCATCGCCTCCTGGGGGCTCTTCTTCTTCCTCCTCGACATCTTCATGTTCTTCAGGTCTTGCAAATGGAGGTGAGAAGATCAAGATCCTGCCCTTGACATACCAGTCAATCTCTTGTGGCTGGTTTTCCAAGTTGCT